ATTCAATACTGATTGCAGTACCACGGGGTCAGATCCAAGAAGAGAGATGTTGTCTGCGTACTCGATGTCTCTGAGTAGACGCCCTGGGAGCACTTCGGCCCCATAGCCTTTAGAGGCTGAAAATATCCAGGTGACGACAGTTATCTGACTCTTGTAAGCCAAATTACGTTTTCCAATGAAGGGAATGCAACGATGGACCAGCACACAGTAGCGACCTCTTCGGCGATCGTCACGCCAATCTACAAAACTGGTGACCGACTATTGCTTGGAAGCTACAGACCTATTAGCTTCACTAAGGTGAAGGTGATGGAACGCACTATAAAGCGGGTCACCATAGATCACGTTACTACCAACAACCTGATGTCCGCAGTTCAACACGGATTCCTCCCAAACCGTTCCTGTGTGATGAACATATTCGTATTTGTGGGAAGCATAACCCAAGCTAAGGACGAGGGCTCATATCGGACGCAAGATTCCTCGGGGGGCGGGGCCAGACGGCTCAAGTCGTCAGAGCACGAATTTACTGACCGGAAGATCCGTGGTTTTAACCTGACCTCTGAATCTTGACTTTTCCTGTCTGGAGCCTGGCAGTGTCTGAGCCCTGTGCTTCCTTCCGGTGGCATGGCCGCTAGGCGACGGAAAAGTGCTACAGTTGAATGATTTTTTTCAGTATTTCTCGTCTTCTTAAAAGCATAAGTCCCGCTATTCCACAAACTCGAGTCTCACGGGATTTGAGGGGAGTTCTACGCTGGGTCAAGGCGTTTTTATCAGACAGGACATTCTAACCTACTCTTTTTCAGCGCCAACCACCACTGGAGTTCGTCAAGGCTGTTTTGAGACCACTTATGTTTCTGATCTACGTCAACGACCTTCCAGATGTTCTTTCAAGTTCATGTCTAATTTTTGCAGACGACTTGAAATCCTGGAGTTCAAATGTCAGTGCCCTTCAAATGGATGTAGACGCTGCAAAGCAGTGGTCGTTGGACTGGCAGCTCCTTCTGAACGACGAAAAGTGGATACATGTCACTCGGAGGGGACTCAGCAAATGCCTTTGTCGTGCACGGTGAGAATGGAGAGAAGACATCACGATGATGGATGCCAAAAAGCAATCGGGTGTATGAATCTCTTTGAACATATCATTCTCACTACATCATGGGAAACCGGTCCAAAAAGTATTCGCCGATCTACGGATGAGCCGGTCCACCTTCTTCCGTATTATTTGCATGGACTTCATTATCATCATCGACAGCATGACATCAGTAACACATGCCCAACCAACGCAGCTTCTGGTGCTGGACACATTATTCAATGGAAGTATCCGTTACACGACCGAAAACACGCTTTCTAACCGGCTCGTTACGGATTCGCCGACACCAACCCACACGAGCTATGGTTCTGAGACAACGATTGTCGAACACCTGAAGACGTCTCAGGTCCGCTGCTCGAATAGGCCAAGTCTCACAGCCATACAACAAAACAGCCCGTACTGTAGCTTGATACACACGTCCCTTCAGATTCAGAGATAAACCATTCTGACGCCATAGGTGTCGCAAGTTAGCAAACGCGGCCCGAGCCTTGCAGATTCGAGCATTCACCTCATCCGTCACACTACAATCAGAACTAATACAGCTCCCAAGATACGTAAAACGCTCCACAACTTCCAGTACCTCTCCCTGGATTGTAAGGGGCGTGTTCAGTGACTGCACGTCCACAAGCATGACCTTACACTTTGTAGGTGCAAAATGCATACCAAAGGACGGGATGACTTTGGTCAGTTCATCCAAGAATACTTGCGCCTTCGCCTCCTCTTCGAACATGAGAACGATGTCGTCTGCATATTCCAGATCGACAAGGTTTCCTTCACTGGCTATTTGAACACCAGGGTTTTGGAGACCCTCCAGCGTTCGTCTCACTATTTCATCGATCACAAAGTTGAAAAGGAATGGAGAGAGTGGGCATCACTGA